CAATCATTCGTCGGAAAAGCTAATTCGAATATTTCTTATCATTTATTAGAATATTCCCTCCTCATTGATATTAAAAACACATGAATCAAATATAAAAATGAAAATCGATTTTTGCATAAAATAAATTGCTATTTAAAAACATACATTACATTGTTCAACATGAAATAAAATGAATTAATTGACTAAAATGAAATCCATTTATTTCAAAACCCATTTTGTTAGAACATCGCGTAGGATTGTAACACTTCGACCAAGTGATACTTTCCACGCCCGTTCTACAAATTCGCATTCTTGAAAATATTCGGATAATAAAATAAAGAATCAAAATAGTGAATAAATAAAAATAATATGAAATGAAATATAAATATATAATAATATATATATAATAGTAATACATATACACGTATATAGTAAAGTGCAAATGTAATTAACATACTTATTTTATTTATATATATACATAGTTGATATAAAACATTTGATAAACTTGGTATAATGGAATATGTATATATAATATAGTATACTATAAAGGACTAAAATGAAATCATAGAATCAATGGAGACTACAATATCAACAAAAGAAACTAAACATATTTGATTTATAAAAGGATCAAAATAATATTAACGTTAACTTGAGTGAGTAAACGATAATACGGACAATGATCAGGGTAATAATCAACACATTAAGCTATGTAGGTCCTAAAAGCATAAATAAACCATGAATAATATGAAGAACTAAAATGATATGAAACAAATTCATAATGACGATCAATAATTCTACCTAAAGGTATGTATACCAACACAATAATCGAAATTTAAACAACATAAATTAAAAAAAACACTAATTATAAAGAAAATAAAGTTACATTCAGTGACTGAAATAAAAGGTTTGCAAATATTAAAACTAGAGTCAAATATAACCAAAAATGGTACAATACATAGCATGGTGACTAAAATATAAATGAGAAAGAATGAGTGCTCAAAATGAAATAAAATAAAATTACATTTAATGGTTAAAAAAATAAATATTACACATCATAGGGGATTAAACATGTAATTGACCCAAACAATGAAATTACAAACTGGTCCCCCTCGAAACTACGTCGTTTCGTGGGAGATATATAACCCTAGCTCCAAAGCTTTCTCATCTCATCTTTCTCATTTGCTACCTTTTAAAAAAACCAGAGAAGAGAGAAAGGAATGGATTCTCTCAACCCCTCATCGGGAAGAGAAGCAATGGTCGCTACCAGCGGAGGTCATCACGACGGAGCTCACGACAGCCAACGGCGGCGAGAGAGCGTAAAACACCTTAAAAGCTCCCTCTCTCTACCCTCAACCCAAAAACCACCCCCACCTAACCTAAAACCGGCGCTAAACCCTTAGATCTGAGGTATACCTTTCGAGAAAACAAGAAACCGGTGACCCTTCCTCGTCTCGATGACTCCTCCGATCAAGGTATGGTCTCATCTCTCTCTATTTCCCTCTTGTTTTTTTGTTTGCTTGGTTCGAGTAGTTCTCTTTTTTTCATGTTTTTTTTTGGGTTTTTTTTCGTTCCTCCCTCTGATCCCTAATGCCCTCTTCTCTCTTTCTTTTTCTTTTTTTGTTGCATGTGTTGATATCTTCTCTGCTGATTTGGTGATGGATTGATAGATAGATAGACTCTTCTAATTCCTCGAGATTTCTTGTGTACTTGCTTGATTTTATTTGATTTTTTTAATTGAGTTTTATCTTTGATTTGCATGACTGATGTGGTCTCGGTCACTATTGGTGATAACGGCGACAGAGACGGTCGAAGGAAGGCTCGGCTTGGTGGCTCGGGAACTCAGCGACGGCTCGGTGATCGGCTCGTCGGCTGGAGAGTGTGGCAGTGAAGCGACTGCTGGATGATATGCTTAGGGTTGAAACCCTAATCTGGGTTGCTTGTGTGCCATTTGTCTTCCTCCAGATCTAACGGCTAGTGTTAAAGGTGGCTAAGGAGAATAGGGTAAAACCCTAGCTGAGTTGGGTTCTTTGTTTGGGCATGTCTGAGTGGGTTGGGTAGACTAGGTCTTAGGCTTGTAATATGGGCTACCCATTAAGCCTGCAAAAAAATGTAAATACATATTAAATAATAATAATAATAATAATAATAATATAATAATATAAAAATGATAATAATAATAATAAATTAAAATAGAAAAGACTCGGATAAAAACGGGTGTCTACAGCTGCCCCTCTTTGCACATTATTGTGTTAACAAGAATAGGGCAAAGACGACAAGACAACACGTTTTTGTCTGGTTCTCTCCCTTTTAAACTTAGAAATTGGATAATGTTGGTTGTTGGGGACGACACAGCTCATACGTGACAAAGAGTTGGGTCATCTAAGGCTGACATAGCTCCTATGTGATGAGGAGTTCTTGGCTATCTTTAGGAATGGTGATAACTTGGTTCCTACGTAATGAGGACGACTGGTTATCTAAGCGTGACATGGCTCCTACGTGATGAGGAGGTCTGGTCGGAGGATGACACTGCTCATACGGGATGAAGAGTTCTTGGCCATCTTTAGGAAGGATGATAACTCGATTCCTACGCGATGAGGAAGGCTGGTTATCTAGGGGTAACACGGCTCCTACGCGATGAGATCTGGTCGAGGGATGACACGACTCATACATGATGAAGAGTTCTGGCCATCTTTAGGACGGGAGATAACACGGTTCCTATATGATGAGGACGTCTGGTTATCTAGGAGTGACAAGTCTCCTACGTTATGAAGAGATCTGGTCAGGAGATGACACGACTCATACATGATGAAGAGCTCTGGCCATCTTTAGGGATAATGATTTCAAAAGAAACCGACTCAAAGATGATGTTTCAAAAGAAATAGACTCAAAGATTGTAAATTTTGTTTCCAAAGAAACAGACTCAAGGATTTTTCTCAAAAGAAACAATCTCAAAGGTTGGTTTTTTCATTAAAAATTGTCTCAAGAGACAAAATTTGTTTTTAAAGAAATACAATCACAGATGATTTTATTAAGAGACAATCTCAAAGATTTTTCAAAAGAAACAGACTCAGATTTTTCTCAAGAAAAACTGTCTCAAGAGAGACAAAACCTTTTTTCAAAAGAAACAAACTCAAAGATTTTGGTTTCAAAAGAAATGACTCAAAGATTTTTTCATGAAATTGTCTTAAGAGAGACAAAACTTTGGTTCAAAAGAAACAGACTCAAAGAATTTTTTCAAAAGAAACAACTCAGATTTTTATTTCAAAAGAAACAACTCACAGACTTTTGTTTCAAGAGAAACAAACTCAAAGATAGGTTTTGTTTCAAGGGAAACAATCTCAAAGATGTTTGCTTTAAGAGAAATTGTCTCAAAAGAGACAAACCTTTGTTTTCATAAAAACAGACTTAAAGATTTTTCTTTAAAAGGAACTATTTCAAAAGAGACAAAATTTTGTTTCCAGCGAAACAAATTCATAATTTGGAAAATTGTCTCAAGTGAGACAACATTTGTTTTTAGAGAAATTGTCTCAAACGAGACAAAAATTGTTTTTAGAGAAATTGTCTCAAGCGAGACAACGTTTGTTTTTGAGAAAACGATCTCAAGTGAGATCAACATTGTTTAATGTGAAAACAAATTCGAAATTTGTATTCTCAAAGGAAAAATGTCTCAAACGAGACGAAATTTGTTTTGAAAAATAACAATCTCAAGTGAGATTAATTTTTGTTTCAAGTGAATCAAATTCGAAATTTGTATATCAAAGGAAAAAATGTCTCAAGCAAGTTTGTTTTAAGAGAAATTATCTTAAATGAAAAAAAATTGTTTTAAAATTCTCAAAATTTATGGGAAACGTCTTAAACGAGAAAGAATTTTGTTTCAAGTACAACAAATTTAAATTTGTATCTTAGAGAAAAAATGTCTCAAGCAAGACGAAATTTGCTTTGATAGAAATTGTCTCAAGCGAGACAATTTTTTTTTAAAATTCTCAAAATTTGTGGAAAAATGTCTCAAGCGAGACAGAATTTTGTTTCAAGAAAAACACCCTCTAAGGAGATAGAAAGTCTGCTTATTCCTGCATGTTGAGGAAATGTCTTAATTGTTGTCTTCAGGAAGTCAAATCATTGTTTCTTCAAGTTAGAGACATCTGGTCATTTCCGAGCTTTGATTTTCTGAGAGATCAAAATGATGCTTTTTTTACTGACTATCTTGGATGTTATGATGGATGTCAAGATGAAATTCATTTGAATTTTTCCTCAAGTGAGGAGAAAAATGTCTTTAATACACATGATGATAAATGTTTGATGCAAATTTTATGTATCATGTGTGTGTGTGTGTGTGTGTGTGTGTGTGTGTGTGTGTGTGTGTGTGTGTGTGTGTGTGTGTGTGTGTGTGTATGTTTATGTATTTTTTTCTCGATCTGGAAGGAGAATAGTTGCGAGAGCAGTCTTCACTCTATCATTAATTCAGTTTGTCTGCCTTTCCACTAGGGTGTACTTTTGCAAACCTTGACCTGAGATAATTTGTTTTCTTTGCCCCATCAAATTTTTGCCCCAAAAATTGGCTTCCCTTGCCCCACTTCGATCTTGAGCTTCGGAGAGATATTCGTTGAATTCCAAGATATACTTCCATAGAATTTATCTTGTTTAAAAATGTTTTTCTTCTTTTGAAAATAACTTGACGAAGAAAAAATATGTGGTTTTTCATTATCAAATGAACTAAAATAATTCCTTTCTTTGGCTTCACAATTGGAGCAAATCACAACAATACGAATTTATCAAAAATCAACTGCTCTTTTAATCTTTGATAGCTGCAAATCTTTGACAAATATCAAGATTGAAAGGTTGTTTTTGAGGTTGGCTACCTAAATTCTAAGGTTTGTTTCATCGATTGGTCATAGCATGCCCCTCTTTCTGAGTTTGGCATTTTGATCGGAGGCAAACAAAATGGCACAACTAGCATAGTTAATTACTAGACTCTTTAGAACACTTCTATTTCAGTTCTCTGAAATCTTCCATTTGTTCAATCTTCGTAGACTTACCTAGTCAAGGTAGTGCAGAAATATAGGTCTAAAAATGAGATTTCTGAGTGCTCGTATGGAGTCGACTATAACAGGTGTTCCTCAACTCCCTTAGTCCATATTCTTCGAAACTTCTTATTTAGTAATTTTGATTTAATTTTCCATTGCTTGGCTAGCTGGATTCAGCTTTATTGTACATATATTTTTATAATTGCCTTTGTTGGGCTAGCTGAAGGATTCATGTCGTCACAAAGTCTCCGACTTGACAAACATAGTGGAGCATACACCGGATTGCCAAGTACCCGATCAATGTCATGGTTTGAATGCAATCTATTCATAAAGCCAGGGATTTCGAGTTTCCTCTATAACCAATTGATTTACCGGAATAGCTCAGCTTTATTATATACATATATAATATAATATTTTGGGTATACAGATTCCATTTCTTAAGCTTGCTGAGGAGAACCTGTTATAGTCTTAGTGTTTATTAAAGGTCATAAAATCTCCTCGTTAGAGTTCAATTTCCATGCAACTGACCTAAACTAGATTCATCTACTTGACCATTCCATATGAGAAGATCATGATCATCATTGAACATCATTAACAGAAGTAGAAACTAATTAGTTTTGCAATCTCATGTGCTAGTTGCCCCATTTTGTCTACTTCTAACACATACCTGAATGCCAAGATGATTGTCTATTCAAGCAAGAAACAAGCTAGCATGGTCTCTTCAAGAGAAGGGTATGGATTCTGGTGTAGGATTAGGATCAAGAGGTCCTTGTTTTGCAGGGTTCAATCTTGTCATTTGTCAAAGATTTACAACCTCAATTATTAAAATCTATTAATAAAAATGATATTCAAAGAATTCAAGATTAAAATTTGCTCATTGTTCATTTCCTAAGAATGAAGCATTTTATTGAAAATGTTCAAAAGTCAAGTGATTTACAAACATTTAAACATAAGAAGAACAAAAGAAAAACAAATTCAAACAAGATGTCATGCATGAGAATGCAACAAAATCTCCTGATGGATGCCCCGGCCGACTTCCGATCAGAATGCCCCATCACACATTGAATGTTAATGCCCCTGAATCGATCAGATCTTGGACCTTGCACTTCAATGTCCTACAATTCTCAGTGGTGTGCCCTGAGCTTCCAATGTGATAGCTACATATGGCGTTAATATCATGGCCTTCAGGATATGGAGCTTCTCTTGGTTTGGACCGAACTGGAGTCACCAGATTCATCTCAACTAGAGTTGGGAGAAAATCCTCATATGTCATTGGAATTGTACTGATGTGAGTCTTTTCATAAAATATCTTATGTGGTTTGGTCCTAAAATTAGCTAGATAAGATCCCTCAATGTTAATCTCAGCTCTTTCCTCATTATCGGTACGGCTAGTGCCTCTTATCTGGCTATTATTGGTTGCTCTTTCGATCATTTCTCCACACATGACGATGTTAGAGAAACTCTTGGTGGCAGCTCCTATCATGTAGTCGATATATGGAGACTTCAACGTATCAATGAATAGAGTGATGAACTCTCTTTCAGTAATTGGTGGATGTACTTGAGATGCGACATCCCTCTATCGTTGAGCATATTGTCAGAAGTTCTCACCAATCTTCATATTCTGTAGCGTTGTTCAATCAGGGGCCATATCGATCATGTGCTTGTATTGACTCAGAAAGGAACTAGCCAAATCTTTCCAAGAGTGGATTTAAGTACGTCTTAGTTGGTTGTACCACCTTGAAGCAGGTCCAATTAAACTGGCTTGGAAACAGTGAATCAACATCTGATCATTGTTTGTGTACCCAGTCATTCTTAGAATAAACATCGTGAGATGGGCATTAGGGCAACTGGTTTCACTGTATTTTTCAAAGTCGGACATCTTGAATTTGGGCGGAAGCACCAAGTTAGGAACTAGTACTAATTCTATTGCATCCATTCCGTAGTGAGAGCTCTATCCTCTCATTCCCTGGAATGTCTCTCTGCACCACTGTTTCAGATTCTCTGGGATCTCATTGTTGGCTCTCTTCATCTTATCAGAATTTGACATACTATGATTAGTATAGTGATCACGATGACCTAGCACAGTTACATGAGTTTTAGTGGAGGAGAAGTGTGATTGATGGCTAGAAATCTTGTGGGGAGAAATAATTATTTAGGGACTAGCATGGGCTATCACACATTCAGAGTTTCCTCTGGTCGAGGAAATCTTTTCTTTGCCTCTTTCTTGGTTGAGCCCAGCCAACTTTGCTACCATTTGATCCATTAGATCGCTTTGATTTTGCAAGATACGGTCCATGGTGGCTTTTTGTACCTGCTGCATTTTAACTTCCCACGCTGCTTGCATCTTTTGCAAACTCTCTTCCAGCTCTTTCTTCAGTTGCTCGAATTTTGCATCCATTCTCGGTATTGTGCGAATGCAGTTTCACAGTTAGAAACGCTTTCTTAAAGTTTCCCACAAGGTATGATTAATGCGTGTAAAAACACTTAAATGAATGTTATACAAAATGCAATGATGCAAATGCAAATACAAAAATGTTGATCCCAACGATGAATATCGTAGAATAATTTTCACCAGAAATAAAAACCTTCACATTACAAGACAGTCTAATTCGCAGACATGCCTTTACTTAGATTGAGTTTTAAATGGAACAATACTTCGTCTCAGATTTTCATCCTCGAAAATGATGTCCCTCAAACGTTCTGCGACCTAACTCGGTTGATGCCCCTGCGGTGCTGAAGTCAGTGTGTCGTTCCTTGATGACTGGCAATGAAATACTCGTAGATAAGAACCTACTACTGGATTACTCCTCAGCTCAGTGTATCATCGTCTTGAATGTTGCACGATCCTCGAGCATGTCTCCTTCTTGTACTATGAAATTCTTTCAGCCCTCGATGTATGTTTGTATATATGACTGCTTGATTGAAAATTTTTATCTCTCCTTGTGAAAATTTTCTCTTGAATATCCCCTTGTGGATCAACATTTTTGCATTATGTCATGACGATGCAATGCAAATGCAAAGAATGATGACAAAATGACACAAACAAATGAAAAGAAACAAGTTAGTGTACACAAACAAAAGAAAATAAATTAATTAGTCTGGTAAATAATTGATATAGATAAAAATGTTATTCAAAAATGAATATAACACCTACCCGACATGTTATCTACCCGAGCATGCTTTAAATAGATAATAATCCTACTCGTACATATTATCTACCCAAAATGAATAATTTCAAAAAATTGGTCCTAACCACATGATATCTAGTTCGCATGCTTTTATTCGAAAAGAAAACAAATTCTATGAACTTAAAGTAAAAGATAAGGGTTTAGAAATACTCCTCCTTTGTGTACACCTATTTTGGGTACCTACTGACGGACAGAGGTTCGGTATGACTATAACTAGGGTGACCGTTCTACGGTTCACTATATGCATGGTTTCGGCTCTAACAGGAAAAGGGTACTCGAATTGTCCTTGATGTCGGTGCCCCTTTTGGGCTGTCAGACCCTCGATCCTCACCCATTACAGGTTTCGAACGGAATTAGTTCAATTCAAGGGGATTCATTGCCTTATACCCATACGAGGAATAAATCCCTACGAAGGTATAAGATATGTATCCCATGGGTTAATTGCTAAAACTCATACGAAGAATAAATTCTTACGAGAGTAAAGCAATCACCCTAACTAATTCGGATCGAAGCTCCCTATCTAGAGCTCATGTTATGCAGATGCACGTGATGTGTGTAAGGAAGAGCGTACCTACCTTTGACGCAAAAGATGAACAAATAAAAACCCTCAACAAAAACATGGATAGAGCTGAATGCAAAAATTAAAATGTTAGTATGAAAAAAAAAAGAATGAAGCAATTAAAAACTTCAATAAAAAGATCATAGATTAACTAAAGACTCGAACTCATAAATTCGACCACAATGACAATGTGTAAGCGACCTACAGCCTGACTCTCTAAAAAAATCCCTAGCAGAGTCGCCAAGCAGTCATAACCATTTTTAGGTTAAAACAATTAAATATTATTTTAAAAAACGATTACGACTTTAATTTAGAAAATTAAGCGATTTTGGATTAATTTGAATTAAATTGAATAGAGTCACCATCGACCTTTGGATTAGGTAGGTCGAATACCTAAAAACTTCTTTTAAAACAATTTTAAGTAAAAATCATTTTTAAGACAAAAATGGCATGCGTTTACCAGAAATCACATTAAAATGGGTTCAGGAGTCGATTACGTATGGGGAATGATTAGCACCCCACAGTGCCCAAAAACTGATACTGGATCGCTTACACGTTGTCGTAAACGGCAGAACTTATAAATTTGAATATGAAATTAAAATGTAATCCATTTATTGAACATTGATTAATTTGCTTCGAAATAAATAAATAGAGAAAAATATTTAACTAGAAAAGAAATCTCAAAATTAGCAATCCTCCGTCGGAAAAGCTAACTCGAATATTTCTTATCATTTATTAGAATATTCCCTCCTTATTGATATTAAAAAAACATGAATCAAATATAAAAATGAAAATCGATTTTTGCATAAAATTAATCGCTATTTAAAAACATACATTACATTGTTCAACATGAAATAAAATGAATTAATTGACTAAAATGAAATCCATTCATTTCAAAACCCATTTTGTTAGAACATCGTGTCGGATTGTACCACTACGACCAAGTGATACTTTCCATGCCCGTTCTACAAATTCGCATTCTTGAAAATATTCGGATAATAAAATAAAGAATCAAAATAATGAATAAATAAAAATAATATGAAATGAAATGAAATATAAATATAAATATATATAATATATATATAGTAATACATATACATATATAGTAAAGTGCAAATGTAATTAACATACTTATTTTATTTATATATATACATAGTTGATATAAAATTTGATAAACTTTGTATAATGGAATATGTATATACAATATAGTATACTATAAAGGACTAAAATGAAATCATAGAATCAATGGAGACTACAATATCAACAAAAGAAACTAAACATATTTGATTTATAAAAGGATCAAAATAATATTAATGTTAACTTGAGTGATTAAACAATAATATGGACAATGATCAGGGTAATAATCAACACATTAAGCTATGTAGGTCCTAAAAGCATAAATAAACCATGAATAATATGAAGAACTAAAATGATATGAAATAGAAATTCGTAATGACGATCAATAATTCTACCTAAAGGTATGTATACCAACACAGTGATCGAAATGTAAACAACATAAATTAAAAAAAAAACACTAATTATAAAGAAAATAAAGTTACATTCAGTGACTGAAATAAAAGGTTTGCAAATATTAAAACTAGAGTCAAACATAACCAAAAATGGTACAATACATAGCATGGTGATTTAAATAAAAATGAGAAAGAATGAGTGCTCAAAAAGAAAAAAAATAAAATTACATTTAATGGTTAAAAAATAAATATTACACAGCATAGGGGATTAAACATGTAATTGTCCCAAACAATGAAATTACAAACTGGTCCCCCTCGAAACTACGTCGTTTCGTGGGAGATATATAACCCTAGGCCCAAAGCTTTCTTATCTCATATTTCTCATTTGCTTCCTTTTACAAAAACCAGAGAAGAGAGAAAGGAAGGGATTCTCTCAACTCCCTCATCGGGAAGAGAAGAAATGGCCGCTGCCAGCAGAGCTCACGGCGTCCAACGGCGACGAAAGAGCGGAAAACACCTTAAAAGCTCCCTCTCTCTACCCTCAACCCAAAAACCACCCCCACCTAACCTAAAACCGACCCTAAACCCTTAGATCTAAGGTATACCTTTCGAGAAAAGAAGAAACCGGTGACCTTCCTCCTCTCGATGACTCCTCCGATCAAGTTACGGTCTCATCTCTCTCTATTTCCCTCTTGTTTTTTTGTTTGTTTGGTTCGAGTAGTTCTCTTTTTTTTGTTGTTTTTTTTCGTTCCTTCCTCTGATCCTGAATGCCCTCTTCTCTCTTTCTTTTTCTTTTTATGTTGCATGTGTTGATATCTTCTCTGCTGATTTGGTGATGGATTAATTGATAGATAGACTCTTCTGATTCCTCGAGATTTCTTGTGTACTTGCTTGATTTTATTTGATTTTTTTAATCGGGTTTTCTCTTTGATTTCCATGACTGATGTGGTCTCGGTCATTGTTGGTGATAACGACGGCAGAGACGGTCGGAAGGGAGGCTCGGCTTGGTGGCTCGAGAACTCGACGATGGCTTGGTGATCGGCTCGTCGGCTGGAGAGTGTGGCAATGAAGCAGCTGCTGGATGATATGCTTAGGGTTAAAACCCTAATCTGGGTTACTTGTGGGCCATTTATCTTCCTCTAGATCTAACGGCTGGTGTTAAAGGCGGCTAGGGAGAATAAGGTGAAACCCTAGCTGAGTTGGGTCCTTTGTTTGGCCCAGTCTAAGTGGGTTGGGTAGACTAGGTCTTGGGCTTGTAATCTGTGCTGCCCATTAAGCCTGCAAAAAATGTAAATACATATTAAATAATAATAATAATAATAATAATAATAAATATAAATAATATAAAAATGATAATAATAATAATAAATTAAAACAGAAAAGACCCGGAAAAAAACGGGTGTCTACACATAGTATATATTATTTATAATTATACATAATATATAAGTATAAGTTTTATAATTCATATATAATTTATATATAAATTATATAATTTATATATAAATTATATAATTTATATAATTTATATTAATAAATTATGTAGTTTATATATAGTTCAATAGTTCATATATAAACTATATAGTTTATACATAATATATATATAGTTTATATATAGTATATAATAATATAAATATAAACTATATAATTTATATATAGTTTATATTAATAAAATATATATCTTATATATATCTTATATTATATATATATATTATAATTGTTTCAATTTTTTCTCAACTTTTGAATGAATACAATTTAGTTCATTTTACATATTTTCTTCACATTTTATAATTACTTCGATTTGATCCCTTTGTGTTGTTTAATTTATTTAAAAAAAAATTTGTAATTTCATATTTGTTCAGTTAAGTCATTAAAATTATATTTGCATATGAAATTGGCTCATACTTATTACTAATTTACATTTTTAATTGGTTAATAACTTTTAAATAGGTATAATTTAGTACTTTTTTGTATTAATTTCAATCTCACATTTTAAAATTATTTTGATTTGGTCCCTCATCAACGCGTGTTGTTTAATTACTTAATTTTTTACTTGTAATTTCATATTTGTTCAATTTAGTTCTTAATTTTTTATTTTCATAAAATTGATCCATGATTATTTATATTCTAAGTAATTTACTCTAAATCATATACAATTACAAATTGTAATTCAACGTTCGTGAAAGATGAAAATAATTAATCCAAAAATAAAAATTGATCCGATTTGAACTCAATCTGTATCTGATAGAGATCCGACCCAAATTTTATCTACTAATGAAGTGACTCGATTTGAACGAGATCCGCCTAAAGTCCATCCGAATATGAATTAATTTGGTTTTTAATTGCTCCGGACCTGAACTGTTTTGACTTGAACTAACATCGATCCAAATTGAAAGTAACTCGACCTGAACTTGAACTGTACTTGGTTTCAAAGCAACCTGAAAATGACCCGATCTGATTTGACCTGGACCCGACCTGATCAGAGTCGAAGCATCAAATTCAGCCACTTTTATATATTTTGATTGTCATGGATTTTTCTTTTGTCATTGATCTTTCATATAAAACTTTGTTTTTGGTTCATGATTGTTGAGATCTTTCATCACCTGTATGTGTGTTGTTATGTCACTTTGTAATCTCTTAGCATTTGGAGTTGTAGACACTCATTTTTGTTCGGCTCTTTATTTATTTATTTATTTATTATTATTATTATTATTAACAATATTTTTTTACATTTTGCAGGCTACACTTGAAGCCCAATTATAAACATTGTACCAGGTTCAACATTAGACCCGATCTAGGCCCCGATACAGTTGTTCAGTCCAAGCCCGAGAGTGAAGCCTGTTGTTGAGCCCAAAACCCATTTAGGGTTTCCCATACTACACCAGCCATCCCGTGACCATCCCAACTACTGCAACTCACCACGTCCACCATGCCTTGCTACACCAACTCAACACCACCACCATGCCTCACCCATGCTCAGCAGGTAACCAAACAATCAGCAACAATTTTTTAATGTAAATGGGTTATAAAAACCAACAAAAAATAGTGTAAACGAGGGACCCCCCCCCCCCCCGATTTCTTCGGTTCTAAAAAAACAGATTGTAAACTCTCATTTCCCATTACTTTTTCATTGAAAATAGACAACCAATAGCATTTCAAGGTATTTTCACATTTTATGCATATTTTTTAGCAACCAATTCTTATTTTCCAAGTAAAAGAAAAAATAAGGGAGAATATAAATAGTTAGTTTACCTTGCCTGGTTCGAGTTTCCCATTGGAGGGACTTTTTCGTCGTCTGAATGAGGTAGCCGAAGGGTTGAAGGCGTTTAGTCGTGTAGAGGGAGGTTTTATCTAGGTTTATTGGGTTTCATTTTCGGGTTAGGATAGAAAAGAGAGAGTTTGGTTTGGTTTTAAGCCGGGTTAGGGTTAATCGACAACTTAGACCATCGTTTGGCCTTCTTTGGTCGCGTTGGGGGACAGTTGTTGTTAGAGTGGCCAACGGTGAGCGGCAGTCGACGTTATATGCATTTTAGGGTTAATTACATAATAGGTCCATTTTATTTAGCCGTGTATATGCATTTTAGCCACTGGTTTGGGCTGTTTTGATATTTTGTTCAAATTTATGGATCTAATTTGATATTTCCCCTTATTAAATTTGTTTAGAAAATGCTCAGGTTTCAAATAGGGTGAATCACTTTTTAGTCCCTCATAGTTAGCCGCATATTTATGTTTTGGTCACCAATTTCATCTTCTATCTATTAGTTTCGATTTAAGCTACATGTTTTGTTTAGTTTTATTTCGGTCACTTGTCATGTTGTTATTTATTTATTTCAAATTGTTCTATTCGTTTTTATTATTTTTATTAAGGTCACTATTTTAGTTATAATTTGCTTGCTTTTTATTTTTATTTCATTTTGGTCCATACTTCTTTTTTATTTATTATATTTTGAAATTAACATGCAAATTTCATTTTATTTTAATTTAATCACCTGTTTGCATTGTTATTTATTCGAGATTGGTCATTTTTTCTTTATTTTGTTTCATTTTAGTCATTAACCAATGATGTTTTCTTTATTTATTCATGAATTTGGCTATTGTTTTTTATTTTAGTGCATTTTAGTCCCTATTTGTTGTTGAGCTGTGTATTGATTAATTACTGATTTTATTTGGCAATTTATGCTCTGAATCATTTTGGTCCCTTATGCCTACTGAATTAATATGTATATTTAGTCATGATGTATGATTTTTTCCTTTTTCTCATTTTAATTATTTTCCTTTATACCAAGTTGCATGATTGGTCGCATATGTAGATGTTATTTTTGGCTTTCTTTTTTTGTGTGATTGAGTATTTATTTATTTATTTATTTATTTTAATGTTAATCATTATTTGTATATATGATATGGTTTATAACAATTTTATTAATATCTTTCCATTTTTAATGAAAATATTATTAAGTATTTTTATTACTATTATATGTGTTTGACTTTGCTATATCATGTATATGTATATTTACTTAGAATTTATCAACCTTGAATGCTTGTATAATGTTCACCTTTATGTATTTCTCATATTTGTTTTAATTTATTTTATGAAATGTTCTTTTGTCAATATTATGTGTATGTCTTATTTGATATTAAAGTTTTTTAGTGGTTTATTCGAACATTTTCAAGAACATCAATTTGTAGAATGGGCGGCGAAAGCATTGCTTCATAGAAGTAGTGCGATTCGATACGACATTCGAACAAAATGTGAACTTGAAATAAATCAATTTTATTTTGTTAATTAATTCATTTTTGTTTTAAGCCAAACAACGCAATTTATGTTTCTCTAAATATCAACTTATTTTATTTTATACAAACGTCGAGGTTCAATTTATATTCGATTTGTGTTTTTTAAAAATCAAGGAGGGAATATTCTTTTAAGAAAAAAAAAAGAAGAGATAGCATTCCTTTAGAAGATGAGCGAATCTCGATGTTTCTTATTGAATTAAAGGATTTTCCTTAATAAACAATTCGAAACAAATTAATCAATCTTCAATAACTGAATCATATTTTAACTTTATGTTCAATTTATGATTTCCACCATTACGACAATGTATAAGCGATTAAGTACCAATTTTTGGGAGCTATGAGGGTGCTTATCCTTCCCCACATGTAACCGACTGCCGAACCCACTAAATTGAATCTTTAATAACGCAGACCGATTTTTTATCTAAAAAACAATTTTTCTTAAAATTATTTTAAAAGACGTTTTTAGGTATTCAACCTTCATAACATAAAGGTCGATGACGACTCCCATTCAATTTAATTCAAATTAATTTAAAATCTCCAATTTTTCAAATCAAAGTCATAATTGTTTTTTTAACTTATTTTTTTAAAAAAAATGGTTATGACAGCTTGGAGACTCTGATGGGGAATTATTTTAGAGAGTCAGACTGTAAGTCGCTTATACATTGTCGTAGTAGTGGAAATTATGGATTTGAGTCTATAGTTAGCTTATGATCCATTTATTGAAGTTTTTTAATTTCTTCCTTTTTATTTGGATACTAATATTTTAATCTTTGTTTTCAGGTGTGTTCAAATTTCTATTGAGAATTTTTACTTTTCCATTTTTTGAGTCAAAGGTTTGTATGTTCCTCCTCACACACATCACATGCATTTGTATGACATAAGCTCTAGACCCGAACTTCGTTCCAAATAAGTCAAGGTGAATACTTTACTCTCGTAAGAATTTATTCTTCGTATTAGTTTTAGCAAATAACCCCTGGGATAAATGCCTTATACCTTTTTCGGGATTTATTCCTCGTATGGGTAGAAGGAAGTGAATCCCCTCGAATTGAACTCGTTCCGTTCGAAACCTGTAATGGGTAAGGATCGAGGGTTTGGCAGCCCAAGGGGAGCACCAACATCAAGGACAATTCGAGTACCATTCCCTTATAGAGCTAAAACCATGCTTATAGTGAACCGTAAAACGGTCACCCTATGTATAGTCATACCCAACCTATGTCCGTCAGTAGGTGCCAAAATAAGTGTACACGAAGGAGGAATGGCTCTAAACCTTTACCTTTTACTTTAAGTTCATAGATTATATTTATTCTTTTCTTTTCCTTTGTTTGTCCCATTTTTCATCCTTTTTGCACTGCATAACATAATGCGAAAGTGTTGATCCACAAGGGGATATTCGAGAGAATATTTTCACAAGAAGAGGTAAAAGTTTTCAATCAAGCAGTCGCGTATGCAGACATTCATAAAAGGCTAAAAGAAGTTCAGAGAGTCCAATAATGAAACTTGCTCGAAGATCGTGCAACATTGAAGACTGGAATGATGATCCACTGATCTGTGGGGTAATCCAGTAGTAGAGTCTTATTTACGATCATTTTATCGCTAGTCATCAAGGAGCGACAGACTGACTTCAGCACCGCAAGGATATTAATGGAGTTAGGTTACGAAACGCTTGAGGGACATCATTTTTGAAGACGAAGGTTCAAGATGAATCAGTGATCCATTTCAAGCTCAACATCTAAGTGAAAGCATGTCTGTAAAATGGACTATCTTGTATTGTGAAGGCTTTTATCGCTGGTGAAAATTGTTCTATGATATTCATCCTTGGGATCAATCTTTTTACATTTGCATCTGCATCTTTGCATCTGCATTTCATTTTTAAGCATTTTCAAATGCATCATTCAAGCAAACATGGAATTAATATGTGGTGGATTCGATGGAAGTGGTTCTGATCACGTGACACCACATTAAGAATATAAACAAGATTCTAACAATTAAAGGAAGAAGCTGAAATCAGTTCGGTGGGAGCCTATTCAGATGGTCGTAAGGCTGAGCTTTCCAGGATTATACGAGAAAAGAGTTCCCATATCCTGAGGTCTATGATGTTGATCCCGTATGCAGTTATCACATAGAAGTTTCGGACATTCCATTGAGAATTATGGTGCATTGAAGCAAGGTCCAGAACCTGATTGTTTCAGGGGCATGGACATTCAAAGAATGTTGGGGCATTCTGATCAAGAGTAAGTTGTGGTATCCATCAGGAATTTTGTTGCATTCTCATTAGAAGCATTTCATCTTGTTTGAACTTGTTTTTCTTCTTACGTTTAAATGTTTGTAAGTAACTTTACGTTCGAACATTTTAAATAAAATGATTCCTTATGAGGTAATAAGCAATGAGCAAATTTTAATCTTGAAATTCTTTGAATATCAACTCAATTAAAAGCTCTTTAATAATTAAGGTTGTAAATCTTTGACAAATGACAAGATTGAACCATGCAAAACAAGAACCCCTAATCCTACTCCAGACGATACACCAAAATACATACGATTCTCTTGCAGGGACCGATCTAGTTTTCTCCTTCCTGTAGAGTCAATCAAGGGCTTGTCATTCAAGTAGGTGTCAAGAGCGGACAAAGTGGGGCATCTGGCGCATGAAATTGCAAAGCTAATTGGTTTTTACTTCTGTTGATGAGGTTCAATGATGATCATGATCTTCACAGATGGAATGGTCGAGTAGGTGAATCTAGTTTAGGTTAGTTGCTTGGGAATTGAACTCCAACGATGAGATTTTCTGACCTTCAACAAACACCGAGACTATAACATGTTCTTCTTGACAAGCTTAAGAAATTGAATCTGTATACCCAAAATATAATTATATGTATACAATAAAGCTGAGCTATTCCGCTAAAACAATTGGTTATAGAGGAAACTAAAAAGCCATGACTTTATGAATAGATTACATTCAAATCATGACATTAATCGGGTACTTAGCATTTCGGTGTTTGCTCCACTGTGATTGTCAAGTCGAAGACTTTATGATTACATGAATCCTTTAGCTAGCCAAATAAAGGGAATTATAAAAATATATGTACAATAAAGCTGAATGCAGCTAGCCAACACATGAAAAATTAAATTAAATTTACTAAGTAAGGAGTCTAGGTGAATATGGACTAAGGGAGTTGAGGAACACCTGTAATAGTCGAATTCACACGAGCACTCAGAAATCTCATTTTTAAACTGATATTTATACACTTCCTTGGCTAGAGGAGTCTATAAAGCTTGAAAAAATGGAAGATTTTAGAGAACTGAAATAGAAGTGCTCAAAAAAGTCTAGCAATCGATTATGCTAGTTGCATCATTTTATCTTCCCCTAATCAAAATGTCAAACCAAGAAAGATGGGCATGTCATAATTTTCACAATGATCAAAGATGAATCAATAAAACAAACCTCAAAATGTAGATATCCAACCTCAAAACCAACTTGTCGATCTTGATATTTGTCAAAGATTTGCAGTGATAAAAGATTAAAATAGCAGTTGATTCTTTTGATATCCAATGAACTCCTGTTTTATGATTTGTTTCAATTGTGAAACTTAGAAGGAGACAATATTTTTTCAAAATTCTTTTATTTGATATTTTTTTCAAAATTTTGAAAATTAAAAAAAAAAGGAAAACATTTTCAAACAAGATAATCTCTCTGTAAGCATATCTTGGAATTCAATAAATATCTCTCTGAAGCTCATGATCGAATATGGGGCAAGGGAAGCCAAATTTTTGGGGCAAAATTTGATGGGGCAAAGAAAACAAAGTGTCTCAAGTCGAAGCTTGCAAGAGTACACCCTGGTGGAAAATGAAGACAACTTAATCAGGGATAGAATGAAGACTGCTCATGCAACCATTCTCCTTCCAGATCGAGAAAACATACATCAACATATACATACATGTTATATGAGTTTGCATCTTTGTATCATACATTCATCATCACGCGCAATAAAGAGTTCAATTTTCCTTCTCATGAGGATACTGTTAAAAAATTTCACTTGAAATCTTGTCTTTCTTAAAGACATTTTCCCCTCTCATGAGGATAAATTCCAAAATTCATCAAATTAAAGTCATAAAATAAACTTCATCTTGGCATCTATCGTAACATCCAAGATAATCATTCATAAACGCATCATTTATTGATCTTTCAGGAAATAGAAGTTTGAAAATGACTAGATGTCTCTAACCTGAAGAAACAATGTCATCCACAGATTTGACATCCTAAATTGAACGATCAGATCTTCTAAAGGCAGCTAGATCTTCTCAACATGCAGGAGCAGACTGTTTGTGGCCTTTGAAATTGTTTCTCTCGAAACAAAGTTTCGTCTCGCTAGAGACAGTTTTCCTTGAAACAAAATTGATAACATTTGAGATTGTTTTTCTTAAAAACAAATTTCAACTCACTTGAGACAGTCTTCCTTAAGACACAAATATTTGAGATTGTTTTTCTTTAAAACAAATTTGATCTCACTTGAGACAATTTCCCCTAAAAATACAAATTTTGAAATTGTTTCACTTGAAACAAAATTTATCTCACTTGAGATTGTTTTTAAAACAAATTTCGTCTCACTTGAAACAATTTTTCTTCAAAACACAAAATTTGGAAATTGTTTCACTTGAAACAAAATTGATAAAACCTTTAAGATTTTTTCTCTTGAAACAAGTTTTGTCTCTCTTGAGACAGTTTCTCTTGAAACATAAAAACATTGAGATTGTTTCCCTTGAAACAAAGTTGTGTTTCGCTTGAGACAGTTTCTCTTGAAACATAAAAAAACCTTTGAGATTGTTTCTCTCAAAACAAAGTTTTGTCTCTCTTGAGACAGTTTCTCTTGAAACAAAATTGATAAATCGTTGAGATTGTTTCTCTTGAAACAAGTTGTGTCTTGCTTGAGACAGTTTCTCTTGAAACATAAAAAAAACCTTTGAGATTGTTTCTCTCGAAACAAAGTTTTGTCTCTCTTGAGACAATTTCTCTTGAAACATAAAACCTTTGAGATTGTTTCTCTTGAAACAAGTTTTTTCTATCTTGAGGCAGTTTCTCTTGAAACATAAAAACATTGAGATTGTTTCCCTTGAAACAAAGTTTTGTATCGCTTGAGACAATTTATCTTAAAGCAAGTTATCCCTAAAGATGGCTAGACGTCCTCATCACGTAGGAACCGTGTCATCCACCGATCAGATCTCCTCATCACGTAGGAGTCATGTCATCCTTAGATAGTCAGACTTCCTCATCGCATAGGAACTATGTTATCTTAGGTATCCCTAAACACGACCATAACTCTTCATCGCGGATGAGTAGCATCGTCCTTAATTATCAAATTTCAAAGCCAAAAAGGAGAACCAGACAAAAACTTGTTGTCTTATCGTCTTTGCCCTATTCTTGTTAACACAATAATGTGCAAAGAGGAGCATTTGTAGACACCTGTTTTTGTTCAGGTCTTTAATATTATTATTATTATTTACAAAATTTGTTTACATTTTGCAGGCTACACTTGAAGCCCAATTACAAACCCAGTACTAGGCCCAACAACAAACCCGATCCAGGCCCAATACAGTTGTTCAGTCCACGCCCGAGAGTGAAGTATGTTGTTGAGCCTAAAACTCATTTAGGGTTTTTCATCTTGCACCAACCATCCCGTGACCATCCCAACAACTGCAACTCACCACGTCCACCATGTGTTGCTACACCAACTCAATGCCACCACCACGCCTCACCCATGCTCAGCAGGTCACCAAACAATCAGCAATAATTTTTTAATGTAAATGGATTATAAAACCCAAAAAAAATCAGTGTAAAGGAGAGACCCCCCGATTTCTTCAATTAAAAAAAACATATTGTAAACTCTCATTCCCCATTACTCTTTCATTGGAAATAGACAACCAAAAGCATTTTAAGGTATTTTCACATTTTATGCATATTTTTCAGCAACCAATTCTTATTTTCCAAGTAAAAAAAATAAGGGAGAATATAAATAGTTAGTTTACCTTGCCTAGTTTGAGCTTCCCATTGGAGGGACTCGTTCGTTGTCTGAATGAGGTAGCTGAAGGGTTGAAGGCGTTTGGCCGTGTAGATAGAGGTTTTATCTAGATTCATTGGGTTTCATTTTCGGGTTACGATAGAAAAGAGAGAGTTTGGTTTGGTTTTAAGTCGGGTTAGGGTCAATCAACCACTTAGACCGTCGTTTGGCCTTCTTTGGTCACGGTTGGGGGACAGTTGTGGTTAGAGTGGCCACCAGTGAACGGCAGCCGACGTTGGTCTTTGAGGGTGCCGCCGGCCACACAAGGCAGATGGGGGAGAAAGAGATCACTTAAAAAAGGGTGTTAATTTATGTTAGTTTAAGTTTTAGGTTATTATATATTAGATTTCGGGTTAATTACCTAATAGGTCCCTTTTATTTAGCCACGTATTTGCATTTTAGCCACTGGTTTGGCCTGTTATGATCTTTAGATCGAATTTATGGATCTAATTTGATATTCCCCTTATTTATTTTGTTTGAAAATTCTTAGGTTTAAAATAGGGTGAATCGGTTTTTAGTCCCTCATAATTAGCCACATATTTATATTTTGGTCACCAATTTCATCTTTTATATATTATTTTCGATTTAAGCTACATGTTTTGTTTTGTTTTATTTTATTTCGATCACTTGTCATGTTGTTATTTATTTATTTTGAATTGTTCTATTGGTTTTTATTATTTTTATTTAGGTCACTATTTTAGTCATAATTAGCTTGTTTTTTTTATTTCATTTTGGTCCATAATTCTTTTTTTTATTTATTGTATTTTGAAATTAACATGCAAATTCCATTTTATTTTAATTTAATCACCTGTTTGCATTGTTATTTATTCGAGATTGGTTACTGTTTCTTTATTTTGTTTCATTTTAGTCATTAACCAATGTTGTTTTCATTATTTATTCATGAATTTGGCTATTGTTTCTTTTACTGCATTTTAGTCCCTATTTGTTGTTGATCTGTGTATTGGTTAATTACTGATTTTATTTGGCAATTTATGCTCTGAATCATTTTGGTCCCTTTTGCCTACTGAATTAATATGTATATTTAGTCATGATGTATGATTTTTTTTTTCTTCTTCTCATTTTAATTATTTTCCTTTATACCAAGTTGCATGATTGGTCGCATATGTAGATGTTATTTTTGGCTTTCTTTTTTTGTGTGATTCATCATTTATTTATTTATTTATTTTAATGCTAATCGTTATTTGAATATATGATATGGTTTATAACAATTTTATTAATATCTTTACATTTTTAATGAAAATATTATTAAGTATTTTTATTACTATTATATGGGTTTGACTTTGCTATATCATGTATATGTGTATTTACTTGGTACTTATAAACCTTGAATGCTTGTATAATGTTCACCTTTATGTATTTATCATATTTGTTTTAATTTGTTTTATGAAATGTTTTTTTGTCAATATTATGTGTATGTCTTGTTTGATATTAAGTTTTTTAGTGGTTTATTCGAACATTTACGAGAAAATTATTTTTGTAGAATGGGCGTGGAAAGCATTGTTTGATCAAAGTAGTGCGATCCGATACGACATTCAATTAAAATGTGAACTTAAAATAAATCGATTTTATTTTATTAATTAATTCATTTTTATTTTAAGTCAAACAACACAATGCATGTTTCTCTAAATATTAACTTATTTTATTTTATACAAATGTCGACGTTCAATTTATATTCGATTTGTGTTTTTTAAAATCGAGGAGAGAATATTCTTTTAATAAAGAAATAAGAAGAGATAGTCTTCCCGTAAGAGGATGAGCGAATCTCGATGTTTCTTTTTGAATTAAAGGATTTTCCCTATTAAACAATTCGAAACAAATTTATCAATGTTCAATAATTGAATCATATTTTAGCTTTATGTTCGATTTATGATCTCCACCATTACAACAACGTATAAGCGATTAAGTACCATTTTTTGGCGCTGTGGGGGTGTTTATCCTTCCTCACACGTAACTGACTCCCGAACCCACTAAATTGGATCTTTGATAACACAGACCGATTTTTTGTCTAAAAAACGATTTTTCTTAAAATAGTTTTAAAAGACATTTTTAGGTATTCAGCCTACATAACATAAAGGTTGATGATGACTCTCATTCAATTTAATTCAAATTAATTTTAAAATCACCAATTTTTCAAATCAAAGTCATAATTGTTTTTTTAAAAAATGGTTATGACAGGAGTGGTAACACTAATCTTGACCACGTTTATATCCTGTCGCTGCTCTGTCCGATATGCCGGGAATGGAGAATTTAGAGTACAAGGAACTAAATACCCTCTTTCTCATGGTCTTTGTCACACTGGAAGTATAATTTGCTCATGGATATTGACATTTGATTCATTTTGGCTTCATGGATTTCAGGCAACTGCATATATTTTGGACAACAATGTGTTTTTGCTAAGAATAAGTGCCAACAGAAGCATACTGGCTCGGTAAGTTTACATTATCTATACCAGCAGATGTCCTGCATCTTTTTACCGTGTTTTATTGCCGGTAAACTCGACATGGAATCGATACGAGTTCTTGAATACTTGGATAAATCTTGACAACAATGGATGATCCTCATTGATGGATTGATGATTGTTTCTTCATGTTGATACACACTCTTGGCTCTGAAATCTCTGCAGGGATGAGAACATACAAGGTAAAGACCAATATAGAATTTAAAAGACAAAAAGGAAAATGGCGGAGTAAAGGACCATGAGTTAATGATTCTGTGGCTCGCAAGAATCCTATACAAGGGCCACAGACACCGTATACTGCAAGTCCTAGCAAGGAAGAAAACAGAGTTTTTGATACGAGTGAGACCTTTCCTGCATCGGATGCGCCGGAGCTGGTTGTATTTGTTCATGAGAGTGATTTTCAGTCAATCAAGGATATTTTCATTGATGGATGCATCTGTGATTAAAACAATTGATGACAACAGCCATTTATGCGAGGTCTCTTCAAATAGTGAAGCAACATTCATATTTCTGAATCATATTTCAATACCAATAGTAGCCTTGAGGAATTTATGCAAGGTTCAAGGTGTCAACAACCTCATAAAACCGATGACTTACTGGGGGCTGAAGATACCACGCTGAGAGGCCTAACAGGTTCAAGTCAAAGAATTGTTAATGACATTGCTCAAAGCGACTGTGGTTCCTTTGCAGCAAATCATCTTTCAGGGAAGATACCATATGCCGGTAGTGTTTCTCTGCTGTCAAGTAGTAGCACTGCCAGTTCTCATTCTTTTGCTTTTCCCATACAACATGTTCCCTCTACGTGTTGTGCTTTTCTCAGTTATCCCGAAAATACATAAATGGCTGATTGTTTGGCGTTTAACGAAACAGATTGACATCAGAATGGGATGGCAGCCCAGTAAGACAATTCAATTTTCACGAGTGTACTATGCAGGATTCCAAAAACATCATGCTTGGTGTGATATTAACTGACGAATTTATCACTGGTGCTTTTCAGTTGTCATACAAAGTGTTCTTTTACCTTCCAACATTATCATTCAGCAAGTTGGGTGCAAAATACAAATAAGACAAAGATTGTCTGTTGCATCTTTGTACTGCCAATGACTGCTACATTTCTCATCTGCTGTTCCAGATCTGCAAGACAAGTTTTACCTGAGAATCATTAATGTCCTTGATTTTATTCATGGGTTTGATTACCCAAGTTCGACTTTAAGTGGATCATACTCGAGGTTTTCATCAATGGTGCTTTTGAAAGTCCATTTGTCCAAACGTTCCAAAATTTTGAAAAATTGTTTGAGTTCGATTTATTAAACTAAAGTTTTTCATTCTAAAAAGGAATTGTGATTCGAGAAGTCGTCACTAATTTTTTTATTAGGGTGTGTGATTGAACATCCAAAATAATTGTCATTTTAATAAAATTTAATTGTTAAAAATTATCAAAACAACATCTTCAGGTTTGTGTGTCAGCAAATTGAGTTCAAAAGTCAATTATACGAGAGAAAGATTAGCATCCACATTGCCCTAAAACCGATACCTAATCAATTGGTTGTTGTCTTTACAAGAAAATTTATGAATTTATATTTAATTTAATTAAAATTCTTTTTTAAACAACCAGAAAAATTAGCAACCCTATTCCCATATGTAATGAGGTACGGGGAGGTAGGGTAGTAGGTTGCCCCCAACACCAGGTTGAGAGCAGCTTCCGTGGAAGACCTCCATTATAAATTGCCCTCAGTGGGACTCGATCCCACGACCACAAGATTAAGAGCCTTGCGCTCTACCAACTGAACTAGACGGACAATTTTTAATTTGATAATCCCAATAAAGCATGACAATATCTTACTATTTCCAATTTTTAAATAAGAAAAGTCTTTATGCTTCGAACATATGAAACAACCATTTTCCAATGTAAATCGAAATATCAAATTATTAGAGTTTCTATAGTAATTTTTGTATTTTAGTCACTATCGAGTATACTTGAGAGAAATAGATATGATGAATGTACAAGCACTATAAAAATTTAAGCGAAACTAATTCAGAGTTCACCAGTCCTTTAGAGTTAATAAAGAATGTTTAAGTGAGACTCAACTAAATCTAGTAGCTCTCCTCTCCCATCCGCTTTTCTTTCTTTACAATTGGTCATTTTTTATAAATTAAATGAACTGTTTCTTCTTTGATTTTATTTAGCGGGAGATAACACTGGCTTTGACGCTTATTGTCAATCATCGGTTGTTTTTTATCTTTATTTTTTTTATTTTTTAATAAGAATAATTTTATCCTTGTGACACGTTTATCTCTACCTTTGTGGCATATTTTTCTGTCTTTTGGTAGTTTTTCAGTCGTTTGGTTGATATTTTTGTTTATCTTTTCATCTCAGGGTTGGATTCGACATCGTCACGACTGATCAAGATGAAACTTATTTGTTATCATGTCGAACTTCCCTGCTTTGGACGCTAGGATTGATTTGGATAGGCATTTTGAGTTCCTGGATAGTTTTCTTATGTCTCTTGACTCTGATTTGCGATTTGTCAGGGGTCTTTAAATCACAAATAAGATATGTTCCTATTTTTATTTTGTTCGAGCATTTGGTTAGGTTTTTTAACCTTCTACTTCTCTGGTCCTTGTATAAACTAGGTGGCTTGTTTTTGTGTCAATGATTATAAAAAAATGTCCTAATTATAATTTAGTTTACTTTTATGTTTGTAAATATTCATTGTAATTCTGAATATTTTTTATTTTTAATAAAACTAGTGATTTTTTATAATAAAAGATAAAGAATGTTTAAATATTAAAAAATATGAGAAAAAGTCTTTGGAATAGAAACAAATTTTTCTACATCGGTTTAAATATAAGAACAAATCATTTTCCCCTCGGTTGTGTAAATTTTACGAAATCATCAATTTTAAGTGACACTAAATAAGATATCACTTTTATTCTATATGATTGGGTCGGGTCCTCGAACTATAAGATAATCTTTTGCGACAATATAAAACAAAAGAAATATTACCCTTAATCAAATTATGAGGTTTGGATCGGGTTGTGCTTAGGAAGCTCTTAGGTATTATATAAAAATGGTGTTATGAGGCTACAAACATACATATCTAAATATAATATTTTAAAAAAATCGCATTGTAAGTAAATGTCAAACTATTTAGGAGGCGTTTGGTTCAAGTAATCTTGAAGATTACCAGGGGGAATAGAATGTCATTCTCCCGTTTGGATTGCAAACATTCACAATCCCTAGTAATCTTTTATTCCCAACAGTGTTATTTTGGGGGCTTATTAACGGGAATGTGATTCCCCTTCCCGGTATTGTTATATTTCCGGCGTTTTGAACTAAAATGCCCTTAAATTTTTTTTTTCAAAAATATCATTCTTCTGTTGTTGAATAAAAAAATTCTATGAAGGTTAAATTGTAAATTTATCCTTAAACTGTTTTAGATTTACAAAAAAAAAAAATCATAATTAGAATTTTATATGAAGTTTAGGGGTTAAAATAAAATTTTACCTTATCATTAAACCTATTTATCTTTTCAATTTTGTAAAAAAAAAATTATATAAATTTTATGAATTTAAATTTTTTAAAGAAAATATATAAATTAATTATAGTAGAATTCAACTTGTTAAAAAAATATATATATATAATAAGGACAATTTGATAAAATATACATTCCAATAATCTTTTATTCCTTTAACCAAACATTGTAATCTTACATTCATGCTAAACAAACTAAACACAGAAATGCAACATTCTCAGTAATCTTATTTTCGCCGATAATCTTATATTCCGTGAACCAAACGCACTCTTAATAAACTCTTATGAAAACACATATATTTTAGTTACATACACAAATACATTCATACATATATATATATATATGAAAATAAAATAGTATATAATATAGAGAATATGGACAAAACTTTTAAGATAATAGTATGAAAAAAATGAATCTAATAATGATCAAGCGGAATTATTTGCTCGAATAATATATTTATTACAGTATCACCTAAAACGCTAGGAGTCGAATGGAACACCATGTGCCACACACCTTAGTCGCATGGCATACCATGCCACACCCACATTTGGAAATTGCAAAGCACTTTTTCATGCATTTTCCATGCATGTAGCCTGCCAATTAAGGCTATCGAACCATGTCTTGTTTATTAGGTACAACTATATCGAACTATGTATAATTCATACTTTGACACTACAAGTTGCAAAAGAATTTTTTTTTTCAGCTATAACCTTCTAATTATATCTATCAAACCATGCCCTGTATAATTCATACCCTAGCACCACAAGCTGCTAATTTTTTTTTTCAATTATATATACGTAAGAATGAATCCGTGAATGACTATTAAAAGGAGAACAACAATTGGCGAACTGTAAAAGATTTGAGTGCTCATTTGGTGGATTTTCTCTATTATTCTGATTTGTTTAAATTATTTGTTTTATTTTTTATTTTCTGAAATTAATTATTTAATATATTAAAAATTTTTAGGTGTTGACAAAGTAGATGGAGGATTTTTTTTCAAGTGAAGTTGTTGAAAGAAACGATAAATTAAGATGACCTTAGAAACCAGAACCTGAAAATCAAACTCCATAAATTTCATCGTAGAATCGCAATAGTCTATGTAGCACGGGAACGGTAATGGAGCCCCGTTTCAAGTACTCAATACATTTTTGGCACGGGAACTGCTGGGGTACATACCTGGGATGTGCCACGGTGGGTAAGGTACGGCTGACCGAATTCGAGGACGGTCAAATTTTACCTGGGACGTTTCTGGGAGTATCGCGGTGCTGTGAACGACAGCTAAGTTTTTTGAAAAGAAAGAAAGAAAGAAAGAAAGAAAGAAAGAAAAAGTAACAGGCTGCGCGGGGGTGGGGAAGAAGAAGAGAGAATAAGATTTAATGAATTTTTTGTCTATTTGTCAGTTGATCCCTGAGCATTCTAAGGCTTTTGAATCTGGAAATAATTTTTTCAGTATTTTCAAATTGGCCAACAAAATTAATTTAAAGATTTAGAAAAAAATCTTAAATGTTAGGATTTTTAATTAGATTTAAATTAGGGTGTTATACCAATTTTCTATGAAATATTGACTTTATTTATGATTATTTAAATCTATTTATAATTTTAAATTTTTTATATACCATCCCCGTATCTTGGAATTTTAGAAATTATCGTTTCTC